CGCGTACACGCTTGCTCTCTCTATTTATTTTATTAATTATCTTAATATTCAAATTTTCCACCAATTTTCTACTGGTCATGTGATTGTGGCGCCTGAGCTTGGATGGGTCGTGTATATACATGTTGACCAAAAAAAGTGCTCCTATTTGTTTCAATAAAATCGGTTTGTAAAAATTCTTTTTGTATTTGATTAGTAATCAAACTTTTTTTTTTTTTTTTTTTATTAAGGGAAAATAGAAGTGCACGCTTTTTCCTTACATTTTCTGGCTGATGGGTCCCCGTTCCAAATCGTCCTTATACATGGGGAGTATATATCCCATCNATATGTAAGGTCAGTCGACTATGTGCCCTCGTTGGGTACTGACGTTGTTTGAATCTTCGAACAAAATAATTTTTTTGTAAGTCTCTAATTTGTAACTGTATTTGAAATTGTTTATTATTGTTCTTAGTTTTAAAAATGTTATTAGATGTGATAACGTGGATGTATTGTTACCTCAAGTTAACTTATTTCGTGTATATTTTATAAAATTAGGACTTGAAAAGGCTCTTACTCAAAGAGGAGAGAAACGTCGTCAGGGGATATAAAAAAAAATTATATACAACAGCAAAAGCCACTGGTTTTATTATTTGATGAATTTCGTCTTGCTTACTGTTGTTGGAGTCATAAACATCATAATTAAAAAATAATCGACTTTTACAACATATTTGTTGATTTTGGTAAAAATTCTAACATGATAGTGTAAAACAAATAATTTTTTTGAATTCAGTGTCAAAAAAACATAAGAAAAATATGATCTGACCCAGATCTGGACATCTTTTTTTTTGTAAATCTGATAATTTAGAGAAATCCCTGTGTACGGTAAGTGCTTGGCTTGACCATAACATCAACTAAAACGAATAGTTAATAAATAAGTATGCAAGAAAAAATATTGAACATACTGCAAATTAGGCATGTAAAGAAGCATTTATAGGCATGAGAAAAACTTTAACACAAGCTGTAGTTAATTATATTTTTAAAGTACCACTTATTATGATGTGTAATAAATCGCCGCCATAACTAGTAGCATGTTTAAGCCTACTTCATTAAGGCAGTTGAAAGTCTATAGCGTTTGCTTGACTGAAATGCAGTAAGGGTACTTGCAAATTGATGAATAAACGATTGCAATAAGTTTTGGAGTATCATGATTTTATGTCTATGTATACGCTCGTAAATTCATTTTGAGAACGAGTAACATACCACCTTACATATTTTTGCACCAGAGAAAGAAGTATTTCTGGTGGCAGCTAATCATTTGCAAAACTGTGCATATTTTTAGTGTTGTTTTTAATTGTAGTATGAAATAAGGTTGCCAAGTATAATATTGGAGAATAAAAATAGTATACTCGAGATTACTAGCTTACATTATATAGTTGAGAAAAATACAGTTTAGTTTGACTAGAAAACTGTTGCACATGAGGTTAGTGTTGATTAAATACTATCGATTGTAATTTGCTTTGTTTAATATGGATGGCCTGAATGTAAAATTAAAGAGTGTCCAGAGAAATTGAAAAGTTATATGTATCGTAAAGATAAATAATCAATCGAGCGTCGAGACTTTATCGAGCGATCGTGCGTGATAGTACCACAAAAACTCTAAGCTTGAATTGTGGGGCAATGATACGAGTGTCATTTTTTTCTAGACAAGTCTCTGACATGGTATGTCGTTTGATAGCTTGACATTGATAAGGATGTGGAAAATACAAAAGTACTGTGAGTACTGTTTCCAAGTAATCGATAGTCCCAGGAAGATTGTGTTAACACTGTCGCTTGGCCTGACAACTTTTGTCAGAGATTTTACGCTGATTTTGCTATTCTGTTATTTGATACCACGTACTCCTTATATGTGGATGCATACAAAATATGTATGTGAGCATAGCCATTAGTTTACTTACGAACTACCACTTCGTGTAATGATGGATTCTGGGACATAGTTTAAAAGTGAGGAATGTCAAACCTTTTTTTTCAATTAGGGATTAAGCAAACGTTTCCGGCGCCAAATTAACTGGCAATGAGAGGGGTGGAAGAGAATTTTTTCTGAAAATTCAAATGAAAATAAAAGCTACAGTAAAAGTAAGGAAATTCGTGTAAGTACAGTGATAAGTGGCATTGTGTCTTAAGCTATTTTGTGCCCGAGGAATGTAATGCAGTTACAGAGCGATAGTGCTTATGTGGCGAATCCTACTTTTTCTACCAAGGGAACACCAGCCTCTCAAAAACGCCCGAGGTAGGAAATGGTACATAACGTTACTAGGGCACAAAGTACACACATGAGCGCCCAAAGGGCAGAAAAGTACTTTAGGCCCGGAGGGCGCAAAAAACTTTCTTGCCCGTTGGCTGAAAGTGATTTCAAGGGCGCAGAGCAGCAGTTGCACTTTGAGCTCATAGTAAGAAAAGATCATTTGCAGCGAATTTTTCATATTACTCGCTAAGATTATATTTCACTTGATTTTTCTGATTTTGTGTAACATACACTCAGTAAGAAAAATATTATACGTGACTTGGACAACAACATACAACAACCACGCCCTTCCGGCACTTATATTTGTACTTTGTGCCGTAATGACATAATGTACCATGAAAGTACATTGTAAAAACTTTGGTATAATACGTTATTTATAAAAAAAATGAATTGCGTAAAAGGAAAAACGTAAGATTAACATCATTGAAGTCACAGTTGTTTTTAATAATGGGCTTTATCCCTTATTGTATTCTTGCTGAGGCTCTGCCTATACACGTAGAGCTATTCTTCCTTATTCCTAACTAACAACTATCATTCATCACTATCTTTTATAGTTTTCGAATCTAAGAAAAAAATTGTACTTAAAAAGCTGCTCTAGTGTTAAATATACATTAATCACATATTTGCTAAATAGTTGTATTGATTGTGTATTGTTTTGAGTAAAAAAGCATTATTGCAATGTATACTCTACTAACAATATTGTGTAATGTTTTACATTTATGTTAGAGAATCTTTTTTTTCTTTATTTACGAGAATGATACCCACCCATGTACAAGTTGCGTCACTGAATCATGACCGATAGATTTTTTCAATTTTCATTGTAGACTACTTTACTCAGTAAACTAAAACCAAATTAGTCACGGTAAAGAACTGTGACGGGATGTAGTTACTAGTATAATTTCAAAACATATGAATGCACAGTGTGTTTTAGAAATTAAATATTAAGAAATTCTTTATACAAAGCGTTATTTTATGCTTAATTCTCAAGATATTGACCATTTAAAATAAAAGGTTTTGGTTTTAATAGTGTAAAAATTGACTTTGACGCTTCGTTGTGAAACACATTTTTTTGAGTAAACAAGGCCATGACATTCAAGTAAACTTTATATCCTTATTTGTATTAATTTACATTACAGAGTTGCTAACTTTCTACACCGTTTGACCCTATTGTAGCCTTCCATATTTTAGGACCCATCACTATTTTTTTTTTTATTTCTTGAACTGTAACGAATTTATCGTTATTATCACTTTGTGGCAACGTTAAAGAAATGAAAACTGAATTTAATATTGTGCGCTGCTTGAATAGACAAATTATCTTGATCGATTGAGTAAGTTATAAAGAATCGTGACTTCAACAAAAAAAAAAATCAAGATTTATGTATTGTAAAACTAATTTCACCAAGAAGTCAACTACTGTTTTGCTCTCATTTTTATTAATTCATATTCTTTGTGCCCTAGTGACGTTGTGTACCACATTATGGCAAAAAACATCCGTAAAATTTTTGATCTGATGACAAATGCGAAAGTTATAAACAAGCTGTCTTTAAACAGTTGTTTATATGAATTTGATGGGGGATAGGTCCCTGAAAGACTTGTCATGAATTGCGCCATTGGCACACTAATGTGAGCAATGCACAAAATAAGAGGGAATGACGTAAGATAACTGTGGATAGCAAAATTGAAAAAGTTAGTTTTGATCGAATTAACGGCAGTGTAAGGCGTCAAAATCAAGTTGTAAAATAATGCATAGTTATGGAACAGAAACATGATTTTATAATATATTGACTCATTTGATAATTAATATAACTATTTGTTTTTTTCACTGATAAGCTCTGTGACCCTTGGCACGACTCAAAGAAATATATGTACATTACCTCTAAATTATTGTAGTTAGTATCTCTGTAATTACAGTAGTGGTGACTGATATAAAATGTTTGAAAGTAAATTATTATATTAATTTTTTTGTTTTACTCTTTATTTTACCAAGTTATCACAACCGTCTACTGGTTAGCCGATAAGGCTATCCACTCACCACCTTCGTTTGAGGGTGTATTGCCACATTCATTGACATATTATCTAACTGATATAATATTCATCATACCAGTGGCACAGTAAAAGTTTTCCGATGAGACTCGGTACTGTACAGTTGGACCTTGCCAGTTGGGCTGACACTCGGCACCAATGATGCATTAGCTCCATTTATTACAGTGTAGCTTTTGCGAGAAGACCCAATATTGCCGAACTTACACTCCTCACAAGGGCATTCTACAAACCATACAGATCCAGCTAATTAGCATCCCCGGAGAAGCCCTGTGTTTCAGGAACTAGACTCAACTAGACTTTGACGGTCCCTGCCCAGCACCTAGCATGGGATCTGCTAATTGATAATTCCTATTTAAAATTATAACACTGTTTTGCATTATCCCAGGCCCAAAGACCTGTGGGACAAGAAAAAACCCTTAAAATCACACGAAAGGAAAATTCCACAGAAAAATCTGCCCTGGAATAGCTGAGGTTCATAGGAGTTCTTTTTTTTTTCGTTGATAACTGTTTTTAAAAATATCTGCATTTATCTGGAATCGAACCCACGATCTTTAGAACAATGCTGTATTAGTGTCACGAAAACAAGAACGCTCCTGATTTTTTTTTTCTCTCATTATAAGTATTTTCAGTCTTTGTCGGCATATTTCATGATATGTATAAAAAAATATTTTATTTCCAGTCGGACTGATGAGTTAACACCAGAAGAAAGAGATGCACGTACAGTATTTTGTATGCAATTGAGTCAACGAATTCGAGCACGAGATTTAGAGGAATTTTTTTCAAGTGTTGGAAAGGTTCAGGATGTTCGCTTGATTACATGTAATAAAACACGTCGATTTAAAGGAATTGCTTACGTTGAATTTAAGGACCCTGAAAGCGTAACACTAGTGAGTATTATTTTTATGGTTGTCATTATTACTAGTATTTTTGTTATTATTATGTTATTTGTATTCTTAATAATGTTGTAAATATTATAATTATCATGATTATTTGCATTTGTGTGAATTTTTAACTATTTTTATCACTACATTAAGTATCTTTCGTTAATACTCCTGTTGCTATTAGTTGTTCTTACACTTACATCTCAACAAATACCATTCTTTCTAGTATTTTTAAATAGTTATAAACGGAGATTGAAGACAACTAAATTTTTTTGTAGCAATCCAATAAGTTTTTTATTTCTTAGAGTTGTTCAGTCATAAGTTAGAAATAAATTATTCGTATTTGAGAAGATAGATTAAATAAATTTTTTGACAGTACTAATGGATAAAAGCAACGAATATAAGGGCAGTTATATTAAAGTTATGTTTTTTAACTTTTTCCACATTTAAGCTCGTACTTTGTTACCACTTAGTGTTAATAGTAATGTAGGATAAGCGTACAACCTATTCCATGGTTTCCATTTAATACTAATTATGTGATCTTAAATACTTCTGCTATGCTTGACCAAACTCTTGTGTTTTCAATAATTTCTTGTCATGTCTGTTCTTCAGAACTAGAATCATTTAAATTAATAAATGTCTGACGGCAGTATTTGAAATAAATATTGTAAGCAGTTAGAAAATACATCGTTTTCTAAAATTTCCAAATAAATATATATTTTTGTACCTTTTAAAAACCCAATAATTTGGTATAATTAGTACTACTTGTGTTTATCAGTGTTCCTCTTTATTTCTGTGAATAGGCACTCACGTTTTGATACCAATCCGAATTCTACACCTTTACAAATTGTAGTTGAAAGTTCTGTAAAGTAATTGGCTTGTCCACCATTTTAGATTTATGTTAAGACTACTTTTATTTACAAACATTATCCTAAGAAGTCTTTTATTTATTGTTGACGGATTTTAAAGTCATAAGCTCTTGAGATTCTTTGACTAAAAATCCAGTACATTTCTTATTTATTTCTTAAGTACGTATAATATCATAGTTAATTATTTTAGACTAAGGAAATGGATAACAAACTGAGATATAAATGTTTCTAAGTTCTATTTATTATTGTGTATTTTATGTTTTCAAGCTAAAGAACCACCGTATTAATTGTACGTAGTATGCTTCTTTAATAGAATAATTAGTTAGTCAAGAGCTCAAATTATTTCTTTAATTTGCCTTTATGCAGCCTAAAAGTCTGTACAACTGAAAGTGGTGGCGCAAGACAAAAAAGTGCATTAGTCTTGGAATAGATGAACGTGCGAAAAGTCAAAGTATACAGTAAAAATAGTATGTGGTGTTTTGGTATCAGCGATTTAAAAATTTTTCATATAATTTATAAAATTAACCTAGGTCAATAAGTCTTCTTGAATCTTACAATCACCAAAAATCAATCATGCTTACATGGGTAGTGTTGATCATGCGTCCATAGTTTCAAGGTAATAAGACTTATTTCAAATTTCAAATTATGAATTTTATCGTAGTAAAGTGAATTTTTGCGTGATGTTCAGAGTGAATAAATACGTACAGTAAAAATGTTTGAACTGAAAAAGCACCCGGAGCTTATCAATTAAACCGTAAATGTGAAAGCAATTATGCTGTCTAAAAAAATTTTTTTCATTGAGACTTCTTGTTTTATTGCAAATATTATATTAATTTTGAGAAGTTAATAACACAGAGACATTGCAATGTAATTATGCAATATGTATTGAAGTATTAAAATATTAATTAAAACTTATGAGTTAGTGTAAAGTGTTCTTGTTTTATAGACAATTGACTGCAAATTTTTCATGATCTTAATAATTAGTAGTAAACAAAATATTTATATAAAATACAATAATTAATTATATTCTACATAGATACAGCAATATCAATCTCTCTTATGCTCTTAGCTCAATCTCTATTCTACTATTTTTTCATTTTTTAAGTTGTCTATTATTGTAGCAAAATTATTTATTTCTTGTAATGGACTTTTTCTACTTATTTTTAACGGACTTACAATCAGATTTTTCTGCAATTGTTTAATCATCTTTTTAGTCTTTCAAAAAACCTATACACTTTCTTACGACTAGGCACATATAATTATGTAGTGCGGATTTTCCCCCTGCACGCATTATGCCCAAACCACCTAGTAGCTGAAATGGAAGCACAATACGTAAATGTGTAGAGCTAAATGCACTAACTTATTTATTAAAAACAAGTTAATGTACAAATATACGGCTAAATGATGTTTACTTGCACATACATTCAATGACAAATTACACGATAGTTATATTTTTCTCAATAAAATTATGTATTTAATTAAAAATGTAATTTTGATAACAGTATACAAAAATATCTTAACAATGGTAGTATAATTTAAGTTATAAAGTTGATTTGATTTATCTGTTTAAAAAATTACTATTTGTTGTATTACATTTTCATAAAAAAACTGTGTTTTATTTCGAAATATTTTTTTTCTTATGGACAAGGGATAATCAAATGGGTAATCAAATTAAACGTGAAAATAGATTCAGAAGTAGAAAATGTTGATTGAGAAAAAAATTTAATTGACACAAGATAGTGAATAAAGAACAATAATGTGAATTCCAACAACATTATTAAATATTGCTCTATTACATGATATCACATAATGTTTTAATATTTTATGATGTTATTATGTTGCTGAAAATCACTTAAGTTAAAATTTTAATTCAGTGTGACTTAGTATTTTTTTTTTTTGGAAATGTATTATTCTTAAAATTTTTTTTTTTTAACGCTTCATGGAGACGCTTTATAGTAACAGAAACAACACTTATGAAATTCTATCAAGTAATTTATGATACATTGTTTATTTAATGAAACAGTAACTCAGAATATATTTTTAAAATCAAAAGTGAACAGCATAACTAAACTTACACTCATCAACTCATAAACAATCATACACGGTCGTGGATGATTGGGCAAAATATTCGCATATAACACCTGAAATTAAAAGTTTATTTTTTAAGAAACAAAAATGTATTCATGCCTAGAACTAACATTCCATTCTTTTTACTTTCAAAAAGTATGACTAGTAGTGGAACTTGAGATTTAGTGAATGGTTAATTTAGTTCCTTAGGATCAGATTAAAACAAAATAAGAAAAAATGGATTAAATTGTATGAAAAAGGTTTTTTGTGGTTTTACAAAAAAGGTTTAAAAATATGTGACAAGACTTAACGTGATGTATAATTACAAAAATCTTCCTTTGTAACAAATTGATAGTCAACTAAGAAGATTATTGTCAAATACCTTTTGTTTTAAGTAAAAGAGATATGATCGTAAAAGACACTATTAAATAATAATTTTATTAATTTCAGTCTTGTATTTTACAACGAAGAGTAAATAATTTTTTTTAAATGAAGTAAGTTAAAAAAATTTTATTTCAAATAAAAAATAAAAAAATAAAAACGTTCAATGTCTCAAAAAATTGAAAAGACGAGCAATACTTACGCAAAATTGTAAAAAAAAATTTTTTTTTAACTAACCACACTGTACTTACAACTTNTTCTATATCTATAATGTTGATTTCGTTGTCACTAAAATTAAAAGAGTGCCCTGTGTCTAAATGATGTTGATATAAGGCAGACTTCTCACGTTTATGTTTTATGTCACTTTTGTGCTCATTTAACCTAATACTTAATTTTCTTAATGTCTGGCCAATATAAAAATTACTGCAATCTGAGCAATCAATCTTATAGACAACATTCGGATTATTCAACTTTTTCAATATGTCTTTTCCATACATTCTATTGAACGGCACTTTATTACTACTCTTAAAAATAACATTAATAAAACTTTTTGAACAAAATACCCTTAACTTATAATCTAACTAACGGCAATAAGGTATAACTAATGAGCCAATAGCATTATTAACAGGACTAATATTATTTTAACTATTATTAATGGACTTTAAAAAATAAAGTCTTTTTTTTATACAACTTTCGATAAAATCTAAAGGATAGTTATTTGCTAGCAATACTGTATAAATATATTTAAAATTGTTTAAAAAATATTCAGGTGAAGAAAGTTTGTCATTTTTATCTACTAAATGTGAAACTATTGCTTTTTTCTGTGAAATAGGACAATTTAACTTTTGTTCTGAGATCGATAATAAATATGCTTTAAAAACTTTCAAAGCATTGAATAATGGAAGGTTTTGCAGTGATAAAATTAGATACAAAATTCTTAACATGGTGTGTTATGTCAAAAACAATAATAATAACAAAAAGTTAAGTGAGTTTGACCGTTTGTTGAAATTAAATATTAGCAATACTTATAAATTTTTTAAAGAAAACAGAAAATTGTTAGTTTTAAGTGCAGATAAAGGGAGTGCCCGTGTCATTATGACAAAAAATATGTGTGCACAAAAGGTTGAAGAATGTCTCTCTGATAATTTTTTGTACCAAAAAATTAAAAAAGATTCCATAAAAAAATTGGAAAAAGATACTGACAGTCTATTAAGATACTTAAATGAGCAAAATATTTTTGACACGTCAAAACCTCTGTTTAACATCGTTTCTGGTAAAACAAATTTGTCTAGATATTATGGATTAGATAAAAATGACAAACTTTCTTCACCTGAATATTTTTTAAACAATTTTAAATATATTTATACAGTATTGCTAGCAAATAACTATCCTTTAGNTTTTTTTTTTTTTTTTTTTTATTAAGGGAAAATAGAAGTGCACGCTTTTTCCTTACATTTTCTGGCTGATGGGTCCCCGTTCCAAATCGTCCTTATACATGGGGAGTATATATCCCATCGTAACTTGCCATAAAGAACTTCGTTCTAAAAATGGTGATGTTTTAATCGTTTGCAATCTCATTTTTTCCTTTAATCTCTAAGTTATGACACCAAATGTGGGTTTAATCATTTATGAAGACCGGTAGTTAACTTACTTTTTCAGTATAATCGTTATTTTCTTAATAAATTAGGT